TAGCGGGACAATGAAAAACTGCACAGACCTAAATCTTGGCGAGGTTGTTTATATATCAATCATCTTTCATATCGCAGCTTCTTGACTTAATTTATTGAATGGTTCTGATTTTTATTTTTGATGGCGTGACACTGCAAACCAGCCATAAAATAACTTTTCATCCCATTACCCGCCATTTCGTCACAAGTCCACTCGTTGCGAGAAAGTCGCTTGGGCTGTCCACGTATCGCGTGAGGAACATCCGTGGAAGAACTGGGTACGATTTCTAAAAGTAACTTAAGAGCTTGGGTAAAAGGCCTTTATGGGGGATTCACTCTCTTACCTTGATCTTCTCTTGCCCCGGGATATTACCCCAAAGAAGGAAACTCTGGGAAGAAAGAAACACAACAGGGAAGATCGTACTGAAGTAATCATCGTAAGCGACCGAGAGCGTGGTAAAAAGAGGACAAGTTCGCAGAGATCATTATAGAATCAACAACAGCAGATACATATATGTTCTAATGTTTTGAAGGAAGCAAGTTTTTATCTGCTGTCCTCTAAGTCTCTAAGAGAGTAGCATGTAGTTGAAAACTTGAAGATAGCGTAATGTTATGCCGGTTCAGCGTAAACGAAGTTCTGAAGTAGTGAACGCTTTATTATCCTCCGCGGATTGGTATTTTACAAGAAACTTGACGATAGGGTGTTAAAATATTTCCGAGTGACCACGAGTGACCACGAATGACAACGAGTGACCACAAGTGACCACTAGCGAGATTACATCACAATATGCCAGTTTTGTCATTATTACATCATTACGAGGTCATTTCATCAAATGATGGCCTACCCACAAGAATTTATTTACTAAGGACCTCATCTGCATAATGCGTACTTGCTGAAAAAGATTCTTGGTGCCTCTAGATCTTTTATACCGTGGAAGTGTTATTTTTTAATTTTGTTCCAGATGTAGCTAACTGGAAAAGAATAGTATAGTTGGATTCTAGAAAGCTATGGTTTCTGGGGCGCTCCTAAAAGCACGAATGATGGAACGGTGGAACAGTGGAGTGATGGTATGACGGAACCACGGAAAATCTCCAGAAATCCTAAAAGACGGTATGACGGAACGGTGGAACGACGGAAATCATCCGAAATCCTAGAAGATGGAATGACGGAACGGCCGAACGGCCGAACGGCGGAAAACCACCCGAAATCCTAAAAGACGGAACTAAATTATCTTTGCTACTAATGTTTAATATCTTGTTGAAGTATAATATTATATATAATATAATGTTGTTAGAATTCTCGAAGACATTAGCTAATTTAATTTTAGCTACTAAAATTCGAGAGGAAATAAAATATATGTATATGTAATGTAACTTGGAAGATGTGCATCCAGCGGACTGTGGGCGTTGTGAATGCAAGACAACTTTGGATGATAATGCACTGGCTCGGGCTTGATGGACATCCTTAACTCCCCATAACGATGAGAGATTGGTATGACTTCCAGTCATGCAAGAACAAAGTCCCAAGGTGGTGGAGGAGCTACTTCCGCTTCGCTTTTCTGTAATTTCGGACGGATGTTTTGCCGACTCCCATAACATCTTTAGACCCTCGAGTTCAGTCTTTTAGGATTTCGGGGGATTTTACGTCATTCCGTCTTTTAGGATCTTGGGTGATTTTCCGCCATTCCGCAGTTCTGTCATTCCGTCATTCTGCCGTTCCATCATTCCGGCTTTTAGGGTCGCCCATGGCTTCTCGCTATTGAGAGTCATCAATCATATTAGAACCGTTTAAATTATACGAACTTTGAAGCGCATGCTCTGCTTTCGAGTTCCCTAGACAATGGAACAACAAATATCATTCAAATT